GGGGTTCAGGGTTTAGGTTTGGGGTTTAGGGTTTAGGGTTTAGGGTTTAGGGTTTAGGGTTTAGGTTTGGGGTTTAGGGTTTAGGGTTTAGGGGTTTAGGGTTTAGGGGTTCAGGGTTTAGGGCTTGAGGGGTTTAGGGTTTAGGAGTTCAGGGTTTGGGGTTTAGGGTTTAGGGATTAGGGGTTCGGGGTTTGGGGTTTAGGGTTTAGGGTGTGGGTTTAGGGGTTTAGGGTTTAGGGGTTCAGGGTTTCGGGTCTAGGGTTTCAGGGTTTAGGGGTTAAGGGTTTAGGGTGTTTAGGGTTTAGGGTTTAGTGGCCTTCTCTTGGCCGAGATATCCTTCCTACAGGCACGCATGTCGGAGCTCGCTAGACCCGGTCTTGGAGCGCAGCTTGTGTTGCATACCCTGTTGCTTTTGTTTGTAATATATGGTAAGACAATAGGTTGAAGAGAAACAACCAGAACCTCGTGTGGTAGTCCGCAGTTTCCACAGTTGTACTAGGGGACCTCCAAGATAGACCCAATAGCAGGAACGTCCATACGGTTGATGATATAAATCCTGCATTACCCATAATCATAATAGTTAGGGAACATGCCATAATTCCCACAGTTTAGGGTCCATGGGGTCACACAGGAAAAACAGCACAAGCCCTGCACCTCTAAACCCTTTACACACACATATACATATAGTACACATATTAAAATACATAAATACATACGTATAATAATACATGCATGCACGCAGACACACACGCGCACACAAACACGTGGACTCGCACACACCCTGGTGTGAAAGGCCCTGGTGAACAACGCCTTCCCTCTCAAAGAGTTAGGGGGACCCCTGAAGCCTGCGTCGCTTTCCAGCTGGCTGCTGCCGGCATAGAGCCTGCAAGGAGTGGAACAAGATTTTGTTTTCAGGTTTAGGGCCGTAGGATGTTGGATGAGTTTTTATGGTGGGATTTAGGGCTTAGGGTTTATAGGGCTTCAAACTTGTTGGGAGCTGTTGATGCTTCTTGGCAGGAGATGGAACATTTCTTGCTACATATAGTTGCCAAAGTTCGGGCATAGCTCGTTTGGAGTTCGGTTGTCGCCGTTTGAGAAGCTTCGGCAAAAACGCTTTCAACTGAAAGCACCACGAGGGCGAGGGGTTTGTTCAACAGGGGTCAAATATAGGAGCCGTAATAGTTACCAATGCTAGTGTGGTGGGTTCCTTATTATGATGATGGTAGAACGTACCCCAGAACCCTATTCTAATTATTGAGGCCCTTATGTTACATCATACCATAGACCCCTACCTACGCACTCTATTCGTGTATTTGGACTCTTCGGCTTAGGGTAATGCGGGCAATACCTGATTCTCAAGCTGTTGTCCAGTCAGTTCTTCGGGAGGCCATGTTGAAGTAGGGGTGCTTCTTTCCAATAATAGGGGCCTTATGATCAGAATAGGGTTTTGGGCCCCTTATACTATATTCATAATGAGGAAACCCCCAAGACAGCATTGGTAAACATCTAGGCCCCTACATTAGTGCAGCAGCTCAGAGTCTTCCCACTTGTTCAATCTATCGAGCGTCAGTAGCATCCGCAGCCGTCCTGTGGCTCTTTTGGCGCATTGCCAGTAGACTCAGTAGACCATGCACAAGCTCTACCTACAGAACCGCGAGCCCTCTTAGAGGTGAAACCCTGAACCCCCAAACCCTAAACCATGGATCTCAGGGCTTAGATGGCGAGCACGAGGCACAAGCAATATAGAAGCCCAAATAATTACGGATATTACTTTTCGGGTTCCTCATTATAATGTTACTATAAGGGAGCCCAACACCCTAGTCCAATTGTTGAGGCCCTTACATTACGGGAGCAGGTTTTTAAGCAGGCTCCAAAGCACTGTGAAACAAGACTCTCAAAGCTTGAAGCGCGAAATCCGGCGGTTCTGGGTTTAGTTGGGATTTAGGGTTTAGGGTCTACGGTTAAGGGTTTAGGGTCTAGGAATTGGGGTTTCGAGTCTAGGAAGCCGAAAGCAGAAATGCGTTAAGGCATAAACCCTGAAGCAACAACCCTAATATAGGGGCTTGAATAGTATAATTATAGCATAATATACCCCAAAACCTTATTCAAATTACCAAGGCCTCTATATTAATGTGCAATGTCCTTCAGCGATGTGGGCACGGAGTGGTACTCTCGGCCGGGGACTTACTCAAGCAACAGCGATTCGAAATGGGCCGCCAGCCTTCTCCCGCAATGCAATTCTTTAGGGTTCAGGGTTCAGACCTCCTAATTTAGGGTGTAGGGTTTAGGGGTCTGAACAAAGAGCAATAGTATATCAAGAGAGTCCTGAAAAAAGCTGCAATAAAGCAGTACACCACAGAGCCTTACTTTCATTATCACGGCCGGGGGGCCACGGGCCCCCATAGTCGACGTCTCCACCTTTATCATACATCGAAGTTGCGGAGAAGGAGCTAGAAAAGAGGTATATAAAGGCAGTAGTCGTATGTATGTATGTATATATATATATATATATATTCATTTTCCTGTAGTCTTAGTTATTACAAGAAGCCTCCCTCTTAGGTATTCGCCCCGAACTGGAAACATCGAAAGCACCGACGCGAACTCCAAGCCCCAACGACTTCCCCAAACCCGACATCCGATCCTTGTGGTCCTCGTGGTTTTGTTTGGCTACATGTAGTAAGTTTCAGGGATAAGTTCTGCAGATCCGAGTCTGAATGTGTAGGGTTTTTAAGAAGGGTTAACCCTAAACCCCGAAACCTTAAAACCTTAAACTCAAAACCCTAAACCTTAAACCATAAAGCCTAAACCCTAAACCTTAAACCCTAAAGCCTAAACCTTAAACCCTAAACCTCCTAAACCTAAACCTTAAACCCTGTTTAGAGTTTAGGGATTGCAGGCCGAAGTCGATAATCAACGGCCGCGAGGATTTTCTGAAGCTCCGCAGTGCGGTGCTGAGTGATGCAGCTGTTTAGGGTTTGGGGTTTCAGGAAGTTTTTGTGTAGGGCTTGGGGTTTGGGGTTCAGAGTTTAGGGTTTAGGATTTAGGGTTTCAGGAATTCGGGTGTAGGGCTTAGGGTTTAGGGTTCAGAGTTTCGGGTTTTGGATTTAGGGTTTCAGGATTTTGGGGCTTTTAGACTTCAGGGAAAGGATTGTTGGGCTAAGTCCGATACGCTTGCGTTGGTCCACAAGGATTAAGGAATTTCTGATACGTTCCGATCTGAAGCCCTATGGGTAATTCTCTAAATTAGGGTCCCGCTTTAGGTCCCCAATATAGTACGGCACCCTTACAACAAGGACCCTAAAAGGCAGCCTAATTTTCAAAACTACCCCCATATAATTACCCTCAACGTCTAGTTCTGTATCATTCCCCATGATATTCTCCTATAAGCTGAACATCAAAGGCGCCCCGATCTTTTAACTGTTGAGGTGGGTGTCTACTTACTTCGGAGTCGATTGCATGGGATTGGATGGGGGGTTCGGGAAGTATTGGGGGAAGTGTCTCTATATGGGTAGTTCTCTAAATCAGGCTCGCTTTTGGGGGGCTCTTTTTATAACGGTGCCGTACTATATTGGGGACCTAAAAGGGGACCTTACTGTAGAGAACTATACCCATATGGGGTCTTCTTTTCTGAATTCCATAGAATTACAGGAGTACCAATATCCCGAATCCTAAATCCGATGGAGGAAGATCCCTTAATCCCGAACCCTTACCCCCCCTAAACCCGATATCTTGAACCCACTACCAAATGATCTGAGCCCTTCATAGTGTAGAGTTTGTAGATTACCTAAGGGGATTTGTGTTTGAGCGGTCGAGGTTTTAGGGGTTTGGGGTGTTGTGAGATTCTTGGCACGCCTGCCTGGCAGAGTGTCGAGATTGAAGTGGGTTGTTACGGTACATGGCTTTTGTGTGGCTAGGGCTCATATTCGGTGCGGTTTTCTGGAGAGGTGTGTTTTGTATGATAAGTTTGCAGAATACGAGCCAACTTCGGCAGTTGATGACTAAGCCTGCGTGCGAGCGCTGACCTTGAAGGTCTTGCGCAGTTGCTGTGTCGCTTTCGGAGGCAGCTACTGATATGCAGCTAAACCCCAAATCACCAAATCCTACATCCAGATTCCCGGAACCCTAAACCCTAAACCCTAAACCCGAACAGGAAAACCGAACCCCAAACCTCTAAACCGCAGATCTCCCAACCCTAAAATTACAGGAGCAAAGCGCCGTATCCCTATACCTGATGACCGCCGAAAGACATACCCCGCTAGGGTTTAGGGGGGTTTTAGGGTGGATCACTCCTTAAACCGGTATGGTTTTTGGGGGAACAGGACTCCCTAAACCCTAAACCCTTTAAACCCTCAACACCCAAACCCTCAACCCTTAAACCCTAAGCCCTACCCTAAACCCCAAATTCTGCTGGTCCCAAGGACACGACACCGACGACCCCTTTGCTGACGACGATACGCCGCCGTGGCCGGCTTCTCTGTTTTTCGAGTTTAGGGTTTAGGGTTTAGGGTTTTAGGGTTTAGGGTTTTAGGGTTTTGGGTTTAGGGATTTGGGGTTTAGGGTGTCGGGTTTAGGGTTTTTGCCAGGATGGCAAAGGGTCCCATGTACTGTTAGGGGGGGATACTTCCCTAAATCATAATAGTAATTCCGACCCAATATAGAAACCCTAGATTCTACTATATAGGTACTTAGGAGCCTTTGGGAGGGCTTAGGGTTTAGGGCCGATTTGAAGCTCAAGGCTTTTGAGGATGTGGCTTGCGAGTCAAGGAATTACTCTATAAAGCACAGCACACCCTGACAAAATCCGAAAAATGCACTAGGTATGATTCGTGCTCGGCTTCCCAGTATACTTACCTACCCTAAGATTCCAAGTATTCAAGTAATAGGATGTAGCGTCCAGAGTAGTGCCTCCATTTGGGTCTTATTTGAAGTCTTGCGGTGAAAACGGTGCTTCGATGGTCTGGCTTCTACTTGCGGGCTACTTAAAGGATCATGGGACTTAGTATGTAAGGTTATAAGTCCTTTAATTGGGATTATAAGTATAGTTGCCTTAGTTTAGGGTTTAGGGTTTAGGGTTTAGGAAGCACACCCAGCCCAAAAAAAAATCCTTGATGGACTT